CTGAATAAAGCAAGAAACAACGAATAGAAGAGTAATTTACATAATACTATTTCAGTACACATCAATTTAAGTACTCAATATACAGAAAAATACTCACATAGTAAAATTAATAGGTAGACCTATATTTTACTTTTATTCCTTCTACATTTCACCTGAAACAACAACTATGAAATGGAGTTTACATACCTGTAACCATAAATGCTTAAGATATGTGTATTTGTATTTCATACATGGGTATATATGCATGCCATGTACATGACTCTGGAAAGTCTAACGCATCTGGTGGCCCACAGTAGATCTCCTTATACTCTTGATCAAGACTACAAGAGGCAGTGTGCGCTGACACTTCTCTAGTCTATTACAAGTCAAACAGGATGCGAAGCAGAGGGGATGGAAGGTGGGTAATGGAATACAGATAAGGACCACACACTTTGAAGAACTTCCAGTTATAGGTAAATAAACTCTAATTCTTTGTCAAGTGCTGGTCTCAATGTGTAGTCCACACATGGGTGACTAACAAACAGTGCTCAGACTGAAGGGATGTGAGGAAGTCTTCAGCAAAGATGTTTGCAGTACTGCAGATACTACTGCTCCATCTGCCAGAAGAACTAGCACATAATGTCTAGCGAACATATGGACGCAACTTCAGGTGGCCACTCTGCATATATCAAGTATTGCAGTGTCCTACAAGGTTGGTAGTGATCAACAGCTTGATGTCTGGCTGGAAGCTGGTATCAAGTGGAGTGCCCAGGGTCTGGTTCTAGGGCCAGTTTAGTTCAGACTCACCTCAGTCCCTGGGAAAAATCATGGAGGGGATCCATGAGGAATCCATTTTGAAATACTTGGAAGAGAGGAAATCGATCAGGAATAGTCAACAGGGATTCACCAAGGGCAAGTCATGTCTGGCCAGCCTGATTGCCTTCTATGATGCAGTAACTGGCTCTGTGGATATGGAGTAGTCAGTGGATATGACATATCTTGACTTTAGCAAAGCTTTTTATAAGGTCTCCCACAGTATGCTTGCCAGCACGTTAAGGAACTATGGATTGAATAAATGGATTGTTAAGCGGATAGAAAGCTGACTAGATTGTCGGGCTCAATAGGTAGTAATCAACAGCTCAGTGTCTGGTTGGTGGTCGTTATCAAGTGGAATACCCAAAGGATTGGTTCTAGGGGCCAGTTTTGTTCAACATCTTTATTAATGACCTGGATGAGGGGATGGGCATTACAGCCTCAGCAAGTGTGCAGGTGACACTTAGCTGGGGAGAGGAAAATATGTTGGAGGGCAGGAATAGGGTCCAGAGTGACCTAGACAAATTGGAGGATTGAGCCAAAAGAAATCTGATGAGGTTCAATAAGAACAAGTGCAAAGTTCTGCACTTGGGACAGAAGAATCCCAAGCACTGCTACAGGCTGGGGACCGACTAGCTAAGCAGCAGTTCAGCAGAAAAGGACCTGGGGATTACAGTGGATGAGAAGCTGGATATGAGTCAACAGTGTACCCTTGGAGCCAAGAAGGCTAACAGCATATTGAGGTTAATTAGTAGGAGCATTGCCAGCAGATCTAAAGAAGTGATTATTCCCCTTTATTCGGCACTGGTGAAGCCACATCTGGAGCACTGCGTCCAATTCTGGTCCTCCACTACCAAAAGGATGTGGATGCACTGGAGAAAGTCCAGTGGAGGGCAACAAAAATGATTAGGGGGCTGAAGAACATTATGAGGAGAGAAAGAGGGATTTGGGCTTAGTCTACAGAAAAGAAGAGGGGGGAGGAGGGGATTTGATAGCAGTCATCAACTACCCAAAGTGAGTTCCAAAGAGGATGGAGAGGGGCTGTTCTCAGTGGTGACAAATGACAGAATGAAGAGCAATGTGTTCTCAAGTTGCAGTAGGGGAGATCTAGGTTGGATATTAGGAAAAAAAACCAACCTATTTCACTAGGAAGGTGATGAAGCACTGGAATGGGTTACCTTGAGAGGTAGTGGAATCTGCATTCCTAGAGGTTTTTAAGTATCGGCTTGAAAAAGCCCGGACTGGGATGATTTAGTTGGGATTGGTCCCGCTTTTAGCAGGGGGTTGGACTCGACCTTCTGAGGTCTCTTGCAACCCTATGATTTTATGATCAAGAGGACTTATTCTTATCTCACTGGCAGAAAAGTGGGGTTGAGGAAAAAGGAAAGGTAAGTTAATACTTACACAGAATTCAAAAGTAACCTTGGAGAGGAATTTAGGATGAAGATAAATGTATATCGTCTCCCTGTGAAAAACCATCAGGAGGGTTCTGCCTTGAGGGCACCCAACTCACTCATTCTCCTGGCTCAAGTGAGAGCAATTAAACGTGCAACTTCCATCAACATGAAGGACATGGAGTCAAAGGTTTAAAACTGTGGTCTGATGAATGTTGAAAGGACAAGATTAACGTCCCATTGAGGTGTAGGTTTGACCTCTGACAGAAAGCTCCTTACTAGGCCTCTCATGACTCTTACTATAATTGGGTGGCAAAACCAGAACATCCATTTATCAGAGGGTGAAAGACACTAATCACTGCGAGCTCTACCAGAAGTGAGCATATGCCCTGAGATTTTTAGAGAAGGAGATAATCTAAATGACTAGACCATCTGCAGTGCCTAGAAAAGGCTGAGTATGCTGTACCCAAATAGAGAAATGTCTCCATTTAGCTAAGGAGCGGGTCCTAGTTGAATTTTTCCTTCTTTGATTAAGGTCAACCTGAATAGATGTTGAACAGGAGCATTCTATTTTCAATATCCATCTAAACTCCAGGCCATGGGATGGAGCAAGTATGGGTTGGAGTATCTGACTTCACCCCATTCCTGAGTCAGGAGAATCAGGGAAGAGCAGATCCTGATCTCGGAACCAGGCTGACACTTTTGAGAGCTCTGTAACCAAAATGGTCTTGGCCAATTGGGTGCTAGGAGAATGACCCCTAGCCCTGTTATGGTGGATTTTTCTCAGAATTATGACAGCAAGGGAATGGGAGAAAAGGCATAGCTGAGACTGTATGACCATGATAACCTGATTTTGTTGTTCTGAGAGTTGTGGCCCACAGCTCCTCTTGCAACAATACTGGGTAAGTTTTCTGTTTGTTCAGGAAGCAAAGAGACCCTATTGAGGTGTACCCCACTCAATGATTAATTTGCTTAGGAGAGAGTCATGAACTTCACACTTGTGGGCAACAGAGAAGTGCCTGCTCATGTTCCCTGCTGGAGTTTGACGTACCATGGAGGTACGTAGCTTGGATAGGGATTCAGTTTCTGACGCACTAGTTCCAAAGCCTAATTATTTTCAAGTAAAAGGGAAGAGAACTTGCTCTGCTCTATTTTTATGCAAAAGAGTATGGCAATGTTCCCTGACATCAACTGGCCATGGAGTGAATGTATAAATAGGAGAAAGGCTTTGCAAGATGGGCTGACTGCTCTCAGTTCTAGTATATGGAGATGCAGTCCGGCCTTCTGCAGGATTCAGATATCTTGGGCAGTATGGTTGCTCAGGTGAGCACCCTGTGCCAGAAGGGAAGAATCCATTACAATGGTGGCACTTGATTGGGAATATTGATGGGACAACCATTCTCACATTCTTCAGGTTCGACCAGTAGGTGAGAGAAGAGATGACTCTGACAGGAACAGACCCTCTAGAGTTGATTCTGATGAGTAGATGGACTACAGCCAGGCCTGTAGACGACATACAAGCAATTGGTGCCACACTGGTGCATGAAGCCACACGGCTTAAGTGAGCAGCATATGACCCTAGTTATTAGTCTGTGTATAATCTGTGCTATAGACTGCTCATTAATTGAAATGTAATCGTTGGAGGGAAAGCTCTCATGCAAAGAGAGCCCAGTGTCACTCTGATGAAGGTCATTATTAATGTGGGTAGTAAAATGAACTTTTCTTTGTTCATGAAAATATCCAAAGCTACTAGAAGATGTAGCAGAAACTTAGTTACCAACTTGACATCTTGGCAGCAGTAACTTACCCAGAGCCAACTGTTCAGATACAGGAAAACTGTTTAACTCTTCTCTCTCATTTGGGCCACCATCACAGAGAAAATGTTTGCTGCTGCTAGACCAAAGGGAAGATTCTGAACTGGAAATTTTTCTGGTCTACCATGAACTTCAAGAGTCTTCTGTTGCAGGGATAAATGTCTACATAAAAGTATCCATTCTTCATGTTAGGCGCGACAAGCTACATCCCTATTATTGATCTGAACATGACCATCTTGAATTTCAAATTTCAAACAAAGACATTCAGTTACCAAAGGGCCTGAATGGGTCTCCACCCTGTGTCTTTATCAGGGACCATGGAATAGACCCTTGTCTTGTGATATGGAAGCAAGATGCACTCTACTGCCCTTCAGAAAGGCTGCCTGTTGATACAAAATCAGTTTGAGAGAGCAGTATCAGAATGAGAACTTGAAAAGGGATTTGTAAGGAGGGGAGGGAGAGAAACTCAATAGGATATCCTTGATTAATAACTTCCTGCACCTAGTGATGTGAGGTGAGAATAGTCTCTCATTCTCCGAGAACGAGAATATTCTCCAAAAGATTATTTCCCAAGAATTTTTGAGAATTTTCTAATTTTTCATTTCCTCTTGAAATAATATATTGTATTCAACTTTTAGAAAACCCTGAATGTTAAAGAACTTTCTTGATCATTCAAGATAGTTTGAGAACGTTATAGAACGTTCCAGAATGTTATGGAACTTTCTAGAACATTCATGAGTCAGGAATTCTGACTGTTATGGAACCTTCAGGAAGCATCACAAAAAGTATGCAAAGAGGCAATAACACATTTATTCTCTTTTGGGAAAGGCGTAATTGTGTTTTCATCAGTATGAAAAGAAGAACTAAGCCTAAAAGTGATGTGTGGGATTATTTCCTTCATAAAACAGTTAAAGACAAAGTGTTATATGAATGTAAATACTGCAAGGCTGAATACGTCAGAAATGAGACAAGGATGAGAGAGCATATTTCCAATTGTTTG